ATGATGATGATGATGATGATGATGATGATGATGATGTTCATGCAAACTGTTTCTTAAACACTCGTAGTCAGACTGTGCCGATACTACTTCTTAAGCATCACCGCTGAAAACTACTCAACAACGCGACTTGTGGAAGCACTGAAAACCAACGCTGCCAGCAAGACCAAGAGACTGAGTGAAAACATTGGTGGTGTCAACGTGGTTTTATCTGTCATCTGAAGGCGGTAGCGGCTGAAGGGATGCTTGTCCCGACGCCAGCCCACCACGCGAGTTTCTAGTCCTTCACTTGGCAATGGAAACTGTAACTTGTATGCATCGTTGACAGCCAAGCAAGCCATAAAACTTCATGACAGGATTCCTAGGGTCATACAAAGACAGAACAAAGTCACATAAGGGCCATAAGGCCCCTAATGGCATGAAAGGGGCCCTTACCTTCTTCTTTGTTATTCTTTTTCATTTTTTTCAGGACCTGGAGGTGGGAAGACGCAATGGGCTGTAGTATGACGCTTGATCTCACTTGTGTTTACAAGCTACTCCTGCATGACTAGTGGAAACAGTCCTAGAACTTTCCTCACCATGTAGCTCAAATGTAGATCTTCGCCAGTCAGCTTTGATGGTGGCGGCTCGCGCAAAAACGCTCTTGAAATCCAGCTGGCTTCCTCAGTGCCAACCTTGTGCCACTAGAGTTGCTGATCTACTTGAGCTGAACAAAAGTGATCTCCCCGCTAAAAAAGACGACTCTCACACATATTGTAGATAAAACACATCATGATATGATTATGTAACTAGCTAAAATCCAAATATGCTGTACGCACATTCACGTGCAGTTCATGCCACATTCATTTCTTGATGTTTCTCTTGTCAGTGCAGTTCTCTTGGGCCGCCAGGTTGCAAGAAACCATGCTGCATTTGCATAGTCAACCACAGTGGGCTTTTTGGGTCTATTGATCCACCTGCCAGCTTATGGAAATGAAACAGCTTGTCTGGACTCAAATATGTCTGAAAGGATCAACAAAAGAAAGGCGGGCTGGGCGAGTCCGCAAATGTGACAAACACTTTGTCTCAAAGCTTCAGGTCTTCAAGGCGAATAACCTTGCCCTCTCTCTCTCTCTCTCTTGCTTGTTTCAACTGTATACTGCCAAAAAAATAGTTTCTGTTGGGCTGCTTGATTGAAAATAGAATGGCAATGTAAGTGAACATGCAAATTCGTTCCACTTGATCGACGACGCAAACACCACAACGCAATCACTCTTATATCATCTGTATATATATATATATATCCGATATATATATATACATCATTCGAATTCATTCGACGTCTGTTTTGATAGTGCCTCCCTCCCGCCTGGCCAAATCAGGGTTGCTGCTATGGAGGTGCCCTACGTGGCCCCAAATGCCTGCCAGCGCCACACGTGACCCATAGACCTCTAGGCCGGCACAAAGCACGGCATGATACTTCGGTTGCCCGCACAGCATGCGTGATTGAACATTGTAAGTGTCCCGGGTCCATGAATGCACACTTGTGACCATGTGCCTTTGGTGTCGGTCAGGTTCTCAAATGTCTTTGTGGCCGTGACCCAGTATATATAACCAATTCAATTATGCTATATATAACTATATACAATAAATCTGTATATACATATAGATATAGAATATATTATATATACATAATAGATCATGATAGTGTTGTTGCCGAAGGTGGCAAAGAAAGCAGAAGCACTATGCCGTAAGTTGAGTGAAATTCGTGGCCCTCGCCCAGCCCAAACCCACCGATTGTCAGCCTTGCTGTTTGCGCATCTGCTTCAAATAGAACTCGATCGCACTCACAGGAAAAGTGACATCGTCATCCACGATGTAGACATACCTTTCCAGCTGGGCAGAGTCCGACAAATTATCGTCACAAACCATACAACAAGCCGCTCTGGCATCACCCAGAGGGGCACAATGTAGACTACTGGTAAGCTAGAAGCTACAGAAGCTACTACTGTAATAACAAGGGCATCGTAATACTAGTAGCTTCTTGTTACTAGTAGTAATGCCCTTGTTACAAGTAGCGATCCCCTTGGTACTAGCTTCTGGAACACAGTGATGCAAAGCAAACCAATGCTGCGTGGCGCTTTGTCTTGACGAAGGACGCCAGGAAAAATCGGCCGTATACTCCGAAGTCAACCTTGAGTCAAGCATCAATATGACCAAGAATGAGCTTCACAGCATGAATCAATTCCCTCATAGACACCAGTGAGTGGCATTGCTTCCAAACTGATTTTCATCAGGCTATGCACATGTTCCATGTTGACTTCGTCTTCAGGTAGCATCGCTTCTGATCAGCTTCACTTTGGTTGCGTTTTCGGTAAGCTTGGCCAAGATGGCCTGAAGAAAAGAACTTGAATGGAAGAAAGTGTGTCGGCCAAAAGGCTTCATCAGCCTTGACCAAACCGTGAGACATAGATGGGCGAATCCCTTCGTTTGACACGCGAGCATCGGAATGTTGCCATTTCGATTCACTTTCATTGCTAAACATTCTGTTATCTCTTAAGTCATGAGCAAAACAAGTTGGGCTCGTAGCCTGATACTCATCCTCGAAAGAGGAACCAAAAATGCAAATCCAAACTTCAGTTGAAGGCCCAGCGCTCGCAGCTCTCCTCGGGCAGCTTGGCACGCATCAATCGGGTGCCAAGACCCACTCATGATTCAGTCTGCTTTGCTGTTTCTGCAAGTGGTTCACTTGATCTGATCTCTGCCTGTGCATGACCATGTGGTACCCAGGCTCAGCTGTCCCAACAAATTTTCTGCTGGTCGCTGCCAGTGATTCAGGACCACAGTGACCTAACAATCGTCCCAACTTCATGCTCCTAGCTGCACTTGATTGAAAGGAAACAATCAGTTTGACACTGCCATTATGATCCATTATGGCATTGGAGCCAGCCTCATCATCTGGCCAACTGCAAGTGTAACATGTTGCTGCTTAATGATCATTCACAGCCTCGTCTGAATGAGCTGAATGTTCCAGCCCTTGATGATGCTGTGCTAAGCGGGAATCCTGGCACTGGATCATTTTTCAAAAAAAGTGAAGCAGTCTGAAAGAATAAAGGAGACTTTACAAAACCATACTAAACCAATGTTGATGCTGAGTTGACTCTCTGTCAGCCTACTGGTTTCTGCTCGAGCGGTAGTCAAACACTCGATGAGGTGTGAACAATTCAACTGCATTCTTTTTTATTGGAGAAGTTGACAACTATTGTCAGATATCCAGAGCCTGCTGCAAGCAAAGACCACCTTCTTTGTGACAATCGTAAATGA